ACGATATTAATGGCAGATCGGAAGATATTTCATCTGATCCAGAGGTGGATGAATCTGATCTGTCCCTGAGGAAGCTCGAAGAGCTACACAGACAGCTCTATACACTTCAAGAACAGAAGGTTCTAGAATTTTACTTCATTGATACGAAACTCCTCCCGGGAATCTTCATCAATGATTGAAGTTTTAAACCGTATTTCTTGATTAAGGGTTAATGTCTTTTCTGTGAACAGAGAACCCGGTTGAGACAAATTCAGGATCATTTGAGAAATCTCGAGTCCCTCTGTTTGGTTCTTGGGCTGGATTTCAGACAAACCGCCTTCCAGATACACCCGAGTCTGGTTGAGTCAGAGGGATCAAAGTGTATAAGTAATGAGGCACTTAACCAGTTAGCTTCATCGGTACAACAACTGTACGAGACAAAGATACAGAGAATGCAAGATGTGGGCAGTTATTACTTTCCGACGAAATATTCAAGAATCCAGAGCCTTAGATTTTCCAACTGGTAAGCTTTGTTTTTTGTGTGTGTGTTGGTGTTATGGCAGCTTCAAGATCTCCTGATGACAATGCTGGAGTATTGGAACTTGATGGATACACCAGTGGAAGAGCAGCAGAGGTTCAGGAACATTACGAGTAATATAGCCGCCACAGTGTCTGAAATAACCGAACCCAACAGTCTTTCTCTGGAGTTGCTCGAACAGGTAACATCCCTTAAACCCTAGAGATCGAACAGGTTGATTCAGATATTCCGGTTGAACAAACCGTTGCTTTTTTCTGAAAACCAGACAGAGAGTTTCTGGAAAGTCATGAAAGTTGGTTGTTTAATGTGAAATAGGTTAGAACCGAACTGTGTCGGCTGGAGGAGGTAAAGTGGAGCAAGATGAAAGAACTTGTTCTAAAGAAAAGATCGGAGCTGCAAGAAATCTGCAGAAAAACACACATCGTTCTTGAACCAGACATCGTCGATGAGAATGTTATGGAAGCCATAGAATCCGGTACTCTCTCTCTCTCTCTCTCATCTGACCTGCAGCGTTGGTTTGGGGCTTTTGCGGTAAGAATTTTGGCACTTAGTTCAATTTTATATGCATACAAAATTATAAATTTATTTTTTTTTATAGCAAGCTTATTATTGGGACGAGTCTGTTCATGACCGAGTCTACGTCGCTTGGAGGCTCGCCGTCCGAGATCGCCTCAAGGACAACATTTATCGGGTAAAGAGCAGATGCGTACGACCTGCATGGATGTCGAAGAACTCTCTCTCTCTCTCTGAATACATCAAGTTGTGTGGAGGGTACAGGCGAAGTGAACCCTGAAAATATACTGGAGCAAATAGAGCTCGAGGCTGCGAAGGTGAAAGAGGAAGCTCTGAGCAGGAAGGATATCCTTGAAAAGGTCGAAAAATGGTTTAGCACTCGTGAGGAGGAAAATTGGCTTGAAGAGTACAACCAGGTCTCTCTCTCCCTCTCTGCCTTTCATGGTTCGTTTTCTTCATATAGAAAGAATACATGCTTTCCTTTGTGGTTAAGGTTTTATGAATGTACAGGATGAAAACCGGTACAACACTGGAAAAGGAACTCATCTGATCTTAAAACGCGCGGAGAAAGCTCGTATACTCGTCAACAAGATTCCGGGTACCTAAATTTCTTGACGTCTGTTTTCGCGATTTTTCCACTGAAATCTGCTGCTTGGTCACTTACGCCATTCCTTTCGCTCTGTTTATTAGGGATGGTTGAGGCTTTAGTTTCCAAAACTGCGGCCTGGGAATCAGAACGAAAAGCCGAGTTTCTCTACGACGGTGTAAGGATTTCTTTTCTTCCCTCGGGAAAGAAATCTTTCTTATTCTCTCTGTATATCCGATAATATCATTCAAGGAATTTCATCATCTTTTCTTCAGTGTCGCCTGCTTTCGATGCTAGAAGAGTATACAGAACTGCGGCAAGAGAGAGAGCAAGAGCGCCGTAGAAAACGGGTACTAAGGAATAGTAAATATCTTCATCTAGAAGTTCCCGACATCTCGGGTTTCTAGAATCTTCCTGAAAGACATGGTGTGTTAACTGCAGGACCAGAAGAAGCTTCAGGGACAGTTACCAGTGGAGCAAGAAGCGATTACAGGTTCAAACACGAGCCCTTTGAAACCAGCGGCAAGTGGCAAGAAAAGCCTCAAGGTGACGACAAACAAAAGGGTTGCTTCAGTATCGTTGCCTCAGACTCCTCGACCGGGTTCACCTCAATCAGCAAAGTCTAACACTCCTCAGTCACGTCTCAGTAGAAAGATCGATCAGAGGTTTTAGAACAGTCTTTTATATTTAAAAAAAAAAACGGTACGGCTCTCTGCTAAAATTCTTTGTAGACAGAACCCAGTACTGTATATATGTCACTGAATGTATCTTTGCTTGTAGGACAAGAAACCGAAGATGCTTGGCTCTCGTGGCTGACATGCTTTCTCATCTGGGATGTGTGGTGAGTTCTTTTGAATTTAAAGATTCAAATCATATTCAGGTTCTTGAATCTTTTAATTATGCTGCTGTGCTGAATGAAACTTTGTCCCATTTCTGTAGGCAGAACAATGGCTTAGGCATTGATTGCTGTTTTACAGAGACATATGTGTGTGTGTGTGTGTATATATATGTTTGGTTCGTGAAAAATCTCCTGAAACTCCTCAATCTGCTGCTGTATCATTCTTAAATCATACTTAGATTCTGAAATGTGCTCATTTCGATAAAGGGTTCTTCAAAAGACTGGTCTGTCATCATCATCATCTTCTTCTTCAAAGCCCTGGAATTCAAGCAAGAAATATCTCTTCGTCCATGGCGAAAAGCTAAACATTAATTAAAGCATGTGCGCATACACACACACACATATATATATATATGTGTGTATGTGTGTGTGTTCATATTGGGCGTTGGAGATTTTACTTTTCTCAGGTTGCTGTTCGAACGACAAAACTGTTCCTCTTTCGACAAAGACAGTTCTGTTAAATCGAGTCTTGGCTTTTCCCATAATCTGTCATATCTCGTCTCCTTCGCACTATCTGTCAAAACTTTACTACGTTTCTTTTTGTTTATATTTACTTTTTTTTTCTTATAAAAAAAATTTACTTTATTTCAAATTATTTTTCAATATAAAATGGAAAGGTTATTTAATGTTTTTTTTTAATCACTCCTCAATTTAATTCAGATCACTAAACTAGATCTGTTCTTTTTACGCCATTTAGTAGCGGAAGTATGTATACGTACCTCATGTGAATTAATTTCACAACAGTAAAAATATTTTTTTTTACATTATTAAAAATGCGTTAAGATTTCCAAAGCAAATGCTTTGATACTCTGCATAATGAATTTAATCTGTTTTTCTTTATAACATTTTCACAGTAAACATTTTAAAATGCATTGCTGTTCGTTTAAATATTTTGCATAATATATTTCAGAAATACACAGATGATTTAAAATTTTAATTTTAATTTGACATGCCTACATTATTCAGAATTCAATAGCTGTAAGAGCTCAGATTTAGAGTTTTAAATACGTTAAATTTAATATGAAATAACCATTTCATCATAGAAATACAAGATATTTTTTACAAAAAATTAAAAAATCTATAAAAAAAATCCTTGAGTCACGACAAAACTAATTGTGGATCTCTAACATATACGAAGATAAATAATTGTGCCTTCCATATAGAATATGAAAGACACAATATGGCCACAAACACATGTTTTTTGATAATGTGAATACGCATTACCAAAAAAAAGAAAAGAAAAACAAGTATTTAATTTATCGTTTGATCACCAACCAAACACATTAGTTGCGTATATTTAATGGCTAATCTCAATATTATATTTGCCTTAATGAAGTTTTGCTTGGAGAGTGGTTGTGATTTTTGGTCAAAGGGAGTTTATGTGGTCAACATTACCTCAAAGTGATTAACTGAAAAAAAAAGACAAAGAAGATTGTCAGTAGTTGGACAAAATAGCAGGCTCCCAACATTAGCTTTACAGCTTTAACCACCAATTAATTATATATGTATGTAATTTTTTTTTCTAATAGGGATTACTTATCAATTAGATTAAATATTACCTTTACCTTTTATTTTTTTTTTAAAAAATTAATTGAAAGCACTCATCATCCCCCCCCCCTCAAATTTCCTCCTTTTCTTCATATTCAATTTATTAAATTCCATCTATTAAATTCCCAAGACGGACGTGAAGCTTTTCCTTAACCAAAATCAATACTTTGATTTTTGTAATTATAATATTGATTATGAAGTAATTAAATCACCATATTCAATTTTTAAATAATACAATACAACTGTCTATAATTGTTTTTGGCTATTTTAATTATTTTTCCCTTATTTTTCCACTATATTTATTTCCTTCTCCTTTTCTTGCAAAAACCCTAAATTCATTCGTTCGGGGAAAAAAAGGATTTTGTCTCCATATCCTAGGGAAAAAATCGTGCAATTTCATGTAATTTTTGGGATTTATCAGATAATTTTCGCCTGAGTTTGAGGTTAATCTCCATTAAAGTCCTGTGCATTTCTCTGCTATGGTGCTTGTTTCAGATTCAGAATTGTTGAAAGTAAGAAAGCATAGCCAAATTTCAGTACTTTACCTTCATCTTTGAGCTATTCGTGATTTCTCTGTGTCCAATTCAACTACTGATCTCTCTCTTGCTTCATCTTGCTTTGTAGCTCCTGCTCTGAGTTAATTCCATCTACAAAGGAAGGAGATAAGCTTTTGATTCTTCTCGTATTTTCTGGATGTAATGCCCCTTCACTTCCTCTAAAAGCCAAAATTTTGGTGAAAAGTTGAAATCTTGATTCTGGGTTTCGACTGGATTTGGTGACTTTAAGGCAGTTTTTTTCCTGGGTCTTTTGTGGTTCATCTTCATCTCTTTTTTGGGGGTTCATCTGTGGGAAAAAATCTTCCTTTTTCCTCTGTTTTGGTGTGGGAATTTGTGGTGTATGAATGGAGGACAAAGGAGGGATTGGTCCAAGTGGGGTCACAGTTAAGGGAGATGAAGCTCCTGATAGCTACCGCTTGGCCCCAAGAACTGAGTACCAACAAAACCCTAGCCCTAGCCCTTTACCTGGTCCCACGGCTGCGACCGCCGCTCCTCCACCTCCGTCCTCCGCCGTGTCTCATCCTCCGGTGACCTCCACCACGCCGCCGTCAGGCGTCGTCGGCACCGGCTCTGACCCGACGAAGAAGAAGAGGGGGAGGCCGAGAAAGTATGCTCCAGATGGAACTCTGAACCCGAGAGCTTCTTCTACACGACCCGCTCTCTCTCCAATGCCCATCTCTTCCTCGATTTCGTTGTCCGGAGATTACTCTAATTGGAAACGAGGAAAAGCTCGGCCTGTTGACCTGGTCAAGAAATCTCACAAGTTTGATTATGAAAGCCCAGGTATTGAATCATGTGCTTTTATTTACTGTTGCGTTGGTTTTGATGACAATGCAGATCCGATGTTTCTGTTATCTGAGTTTGTGTGTGGATCAGTCTTTATGGGGGGATTGGGTGTTGGAAGTGGGACCATGATATCTGGATTTTGCTTGGTACCCTTTTGTCTGAAGAAGTTAGAGACAGGAAAAAAGAATCTGATGATGTCTACCAAACAGAAAAAAGGGGGGAAAATTAAAACAAGGGAATCTCTCTGTTCTCTAAGTTTTCCTTGTCTTAAAGATCAATGTCTGTGTCAAGTAATTGAAAGTTCTAAACTTGTTCAGAAGATGTCAAGATTCTCCCTTTTGCGGGTTTTAACTTTTTCTTTGATCTTACAAGGACTCTTGTGTTGGAATTCCAATTCACCCGCTGTCTGGTTAGTGGTATCTATCTATTACCAGGAACTCTGGATTTTGATTATTTAAGATTTGGGATTAGGTTTCAGATTTAGATGTGAAGTTTCGACACATGGGCTTTGGAAGTTAGATTCGAAAGTTACCGTCTTTTCAACACGTTAAACAGTTGGTAAGATCAGAACTTACAGTGTCCGACTCTCGAAATAAAGGGGCATTTATTGAACAGGATGCCCTACTACATATTTTCTTGTCCGTGATCCTCTATCTGCTTTCACTTGATGTTTCGGTTTATTCACATTGTAAATCTTTTCTATGATTCTTCTGTTTCCTTGGAGAGACCTTGAATCTGAATCTTCCAAGCCTCAAGATTTCTTAATATTTATGATTTAAGCCGAGTATCTTTGTGTTTTGTATGCGCTGAAATGTTGCAGGTCCGGCGCTTTCATATTATGTCGGTGCAAATTTTACAACACATATCTTCACAGTTAATGCTGGCGAGGTAATGCTCGAGAAAGTATCCACGCAAAAGTTTTCTGGTTTTTTTTGTTCTGTGACTGAACTTTGTTGACAGAGATCTAATTAGCTCTGTTTTCGGATTTTGAACTGTCATGAATGGTTTTCAGGATGTGATGATGAAGGTTATGTCATTTTCACAGCAAGGGTCCCGGGCTATCTGCATTCTTTCTGCAACCGGATCGATCTCTAATGTTACTCTCCGTCAACCTACGACTTCCGGTGGCACTCTCACATATGAGGTACCGACGTCAAGACTCTCTCTCTCTAACAACATTTCTCGGGTTGTCCCGAACCAAATTTATATATTTTGGCGTGGGCATTGCACGAGAGTGAGAAAATGTTGAAGTATGTCATGAAATTGAGCAGTTCATAGTTCCAAAAGTCGTTTCTTTTTTTCCTGTTTTACGGCGGGATTTTCGCCGTGTTTCTCGGGTGATTTCAGTTGAGGGATTTCTCTTTACAGGGTCGTTTCGAGATACTTTCTTTTACGGGTTCTTTTATGCCTATTGGAAACGGAGAAACAAAGGGCCGTTCTGGTGGGATGAGCATCTCTTTGGCCGGTCAAGACGGCCGTGTTGTCGGAGGTGGCCTTGCCGGCTTACTTGTCGCCGCCGGTCCTGTTCAGGTAACTCAATCAATGCCTTCGTATCAAACTGTTTCACTTTTTTTTGGCTGGGTTTTGCCAAAACACCAAACTTTATCCAAATCTGCAATTTCTCTTCATATTTTTCTCCTAGACGATTTAATATGATTGATCGTTACCATGTCTGCGAATCCAGACAAAAGTTCTGACCCGTCTGAAGTGGGAAAGAGTCGACAGTTCGGACGACATTTAAGCAAAACCCGAGCTTGGTTTTTGCGCAAAATGCCTAATTTTTTTTTTTAAAAAAAGAAATTGGCTTTACTGTGTCAGGTGATAATGGGAAGCTTCATTGTGGGTCACCAAGCGGAACACAAACAGAAGAAACCTCGGATCACGGAGGCTGTCTCCGCTCCTCCTCCACTGTTGCCACCGCCACCCAGCTTCACGATAACGACCGTGAACACGACGAAACCCGCAACCGAAGAACTGAGACAGCAGCCTTATGGCGGCGGCAGCAGTGGTGTAGGAGTAGTGAAGCCGACGATACATACATCTTCCTCTTTCCTTATCAACCAGAGTTCGGCTATAAACCCTACCTTCCAAGGGTTCGGGAATCTGAACGCCGACGAGGATTCTCATTCGCTCGGGGATGATTCCCGAGACACCCCGAGCCAGTCTAACTGTGAGCTTTCGAGTTAGAGCGAAAGGGGTTGCGCACCTTGTTCTGGGTCCGGCATTGTAACATCAGATGGGGTTGGGGGGGAGTTTTCTTGTGTAGAGAAGAGAGCTTCCCACCGGGAAAGATCCGGTCTTTAAATTTCTTTTTAATTTTAGGGTTGTGGGGTTGGCGTTAAGGTGAATTATCTGAGAGTTTAGGGTTTTGTTTGTGATAAAGTTAGGGTTCTTTTGTCATGTCTGATCTTATGAGTGTAGCATTTTGGATTCTTGTGTCTGATTTTTATTATGTCCGCAAAGTCTCTGTAAAACTGAATGATCGGATTTCTATTAGATGATGTTTTCGGTTTGTGTTTGTGGGTTTTATTTCATGTCTTTTTTTAATTAAAAAAAAAGATAAATCAGAATAATACCAATTTTGTTTTTGGCCCAAAAATTTGCAATATTGGTTCATATGGCAAACATGCACTTTTTTGTCACCTCCTCATGTGGAAGAGAATCAAAGCTTTTGCAGAAAGCAATAACCATTTATTTTATCTAATATTTAATTAATTTATTATTTGGTTATCCAAGAAAATAAATAACATTGTTCCACACTTTTGGTGAGTATTTCCAATGCCGATTTTTCGATATCGCCTCGATCGAAATGAAAATACCAATAATATGATAAGATAATTCAATTGTCCAATATCAGAACGGTTATTTAGGGTACAGAAAATCTCGGTGATTTATTGATGTTCGTGCAAAATTAGCGTACCATTAAGACGAAAGATGCAATTTTGCGTAATTTCTACAAAAAAAAAAAAAAAAAAATTCTCACTTGATGACATGTGCTCTCTCTATTCAATAGCTAAATGCAATGCCCTTAGCTTCTCATTCTTCCATTCCTCGTTCACTTTAGCGATGAACTCTTCCACTCTCTTTCTCAAATCATCATCATCATCACCATCGTCGTCGTCATCATCATGGCGTTCTTTCTCGTCCTCGTTGTTGTCGCCATCATCATCACCATGACGGAGGATTTCTTCATCGTTTTCGATATTTTCTTCGATTTTTGCCGAAACCCTCGAGACATCGATGGACAATTCGTGGCTCTCGTGGGACGAAGGCGAGACATTCTCCGTAATCGTCATCTCTTCCGCAGCAGTCATGCACATGTCGCGACCATGGGAGGAGGAAAACGCCATTTCTTGTTCAACAGTCGAGCCCTGTTTGGATCCTCTAAGTATCATGACGATGATGAGATTGCAGAAGCAGAACATCAGAAGCGAGTTCGAGACCGCTTGCCCTATCGATTCTATTGCTATATCCATCGTCTCTCTCTGTATTTTCCAATCTTTTCCGGGTTTAGGGCTTGAGAAGACGAGATTGGAAGAGGATGAGGATGACGGTTAAATCGGTTGATTTTGGGGTATTTATAAAAGGGTTTTGGAGGGAGAGACCTAAGTGTGTGAAAGAAGCTTTTTTTTTTTTTTTTTAATTCCGTGGAATGAAGTGTATGGGGAAAGCTTTGGAGGCAAAAAAAAATTCAGATAAATACCATAGACTTTGGGACTTAGGGGTTAAGGAGTGATATGTATGATATTCATTCGAGTGGACCCACGAAGCCGTACCAACGCACACCATATCCTTTGGCGTCAATTTCAAATACACTCTATATCAAAGTCTTAGTTTCTATATATATATATATATATTTGTTATTATAATCCTAAACTTGAAATTCCAATGAAATTGATCATAAAAAAAGGTAACAAGGGAAGTTTCATGGCAATGCCAACTCATTGCTGTGTGGACCTTTTTTTTTTCCTTTTTCTTAGTTAATTAGAAAAATAAAAAAAAAAAGGGTTTATGAGCATTGTACGAAATCACATGGAGCTTTCCAAGTAATTGCATCATCTCCACCTCATCCATCAATCATAGACTATGAAAATTCTAAACTATGTAATTTTAAATTTGAAATTAAAACGATGTTGATGTATAGAATTTTAAATTCGCTCTGTAAAAAAAAAAAAAGAAAAGACGCATGCTCTCAAATTTTTTTAAAAAAATGTGGGGGGATAGTTAGTGGGCCTAGATTTGGGTTTCAAAATGTTTTTGGGCCTTTAAGGCCTTTTAAGCCCAAACTAAAAGTTCCATCGTTAATCCAATCGACATGATACATGGGCAGAATCGGACATCATAAATCTAACTGAAACGGAGAATTGTCCCCAATCGCAAAACCCTTCGTTCTTGCCCTCTGGGTTTATTCGTACTCTCTCTCTCCCTCTCCGCAGAGCGCAGATTCGAGTTGGGGGGAGTTTGGTCAGCTCTCTCGCAAGTTCCAGGTTCATATTCTTCTCCCTTTTCTTACATCGAAATGCGATCTTTTTCACTGTTATTTCGCTGCACTGTTTCGCGATGAGTGATTCGATCTTCCCCTTCTTCCATTCCATTCCATCGTCTATTTCTCTTCATCTACGCATTAGGGTTAGAAGTTTTCTCCCTTTTAGCTAAATCTTGGAACTATTTTCACTTTTTTGTGGATTCAGTGTCTGTATCAAGTAGTCCAAGAGTTGTTCCATTACCAATTGCGGAGAAGCATTAGATATGCATAGCGTTCATAGAATCATTTATCGCCTATCCTTTTTATCGCTTAACCAAAGCACGAGAGGGTTGGGTCTTCTGAAGGAGAAGAGCCAGGTTTCATCGAAATTCGTGCGCGATGTTAGTCAAGTTAATGGAAGCCGAGGATTTTCTGGGAAATCAGGGTCTGGTGGGTTTGGTGGCGATGACGGATGGGGTAATACGGCGGGCGGGTCGTTTGGTTCGGCCGGTTCGGATGATCTTAGTTGGGACAATACTTCAATGTGGTCAACTGGTATGACCAAGGACCATTTCGACGGTCAGGCCGTGGGACGTCAGACGAACCCATCTGCTTCTGATTCGGCGGACAGTTCTAAGAGCGGATTGGACCCGAACCAAGTTGCCATAGCCAATGAATTGCAAGAATATGAGGATATGGTGAAGGAGATGGAACAGGAGCACAGGAGAAGCAAGGCTTTCGTCGACGGGTTGGGTGAGAGAATGCGAGAGATGAGCGTGTTGTTGAAGCAAGTGCGGGAGCCTGGTGCTAGGGGTACTTACCTCAAGGATTCGGAAAAAGCGGAGATGTACAGATTGCACAAGGAGAATCCCGAGGTCTACACCGTTGAGAGGCTCGCCAAGGATTATAGGATCATGAGGCAACGTGTTCATGCCATTCTTTGGCTCAAGGAAGATGAGGAAGAAGAGGAGAAAAAGCTGGGTCGGCCCCTGGATGATTCTGTTGAGCGTTTGCTTGACGAGTGCCCTGAGTAAGATCTCAACTTATTACTTTTTCCTTTTCACCTTACGGTTATGAACTCTTCCTGTATATTCTTCTCATTGTCGTATAGAATTTGAATCCTGATAAGTTTAGCGATTTGCTGCGATGGGTTTATATAAGATGGGATGAGTTCTCTGGTATATTATTTATTACCTCCTATGCCTAGAAGTTCTAAGAAATGATCTTTTTTCGCATAGTCATTTTGGATTTTGGTTATAGTTCTCATTTCTTCCATGCATATGAGTGCATTTTCAAATTCTTTTATTGTAGTTATACACTTTGTTCTATCCTTGTAAAGTTTTCTGAGCTTTTAAGAGCTGCCTTTGGTCTATGTTTGTGGAATATCATTCCTTCAGTTCCACTTGAACGCTTGTTTTTATCTAGTCTTCATAGCTGGTGATTGTTGCAAGAAGTATACTATACATGTAATCACATGTATTAGTTGTGTTTATGGCCAAGTGGTTTCCTTTAGTACCTCGTAATAGGTTGGTTAATATCTCCGCTAGTATTAGTAACGAAAGGCAAGACACGGGTTAGGGTATGCTGCTGAATATATGGCTTCTTCTTCCTCAAAATCTGGTTTTTTTTTTGTATACCCAATGCAGGTTCTTCATCTCACATGACAGAGAATTTCATGTGGCATCACTTCCTTATAAACCCGACTTCAAAGTGATGCCAGAAGGATGGGACGGTACCATCAAAGATATGGACGAAGTCCACTACGAGATCTCGAAGAAAGAGGATGACATGCTTTACGAGGAATTTGTCCGGAGGTTCGAGTTCAATAAAATGAAAGTAAGTCCCTTTACATGTTACCTCTGGACTAGGATATTGCACACTCCATATGTCAACTGTTCAAGTAAGGTGCCTGCATTGTACAAGTAACATCTCATACTGTGTGTGCTCTCTAATGTCAGATGAAAGATTAGCTAGCTTTCTTGTACCATTTGTTATGGTTTTCTGCGTTTTTCTTGTATAATTCATGATTGGTTAATTGGTGTGAGCAGTGGAGAGGAGAGGTGAAGTGCCACAAGTACAGCAGAAGACGGGAAGCGGACGGATGGAAGATAACGGTGGAGAAAATGGGTGCACGAGGAAAAAGGGGGAATGGAGGCGGCTGGAAATTCGTGTCTCTTCCGGACGGATCGAGCCGGCCTCTTAACGAGGTCGAGAAGATGTACGTTAAGCGTGAAACCCCGCGCCGCCGCCGCAAGATCCTCCCTTGATCGACGACGATTCCTTTTACATCCACCGGGTAATGCTGCGACAAAACCATCTCTCCCTTCAGTCTCTTTTTTCTTGGATTTAGGGTTTTGAGCTTTGTTGAGGTGATGGGGAAGAAACAAGATGAGAGGAATGGGGGGAAGAATCTTCTCTTCTCTTCAATGGCTGATGGAATAAATTGTTATCCTTTTCGTCCATTTGGATTTTAGTTTCCAAAACTATTATTTTTATTTCTTAGGCATTATGGATATGAAATTTGATCATTCTAGCCATGGATCTGACGGATTTCTGATGTTTTTTTTTTTCGGAGATTTCAATCCGTTTAATTTTTTCACATTTCCTATAAATAAATAAATTATAGATAAACATCAGAAAATAATTTATATAAAGTAGTGAGGTTTTATTTATTTTATTTTTAAAAAAGGCAGAGCCATCCACAAAGATGATGTTCCCTGTCAAGGATGCTGCACAATCTATAGACCCACACGTTGTCTTATTCCTCATGTTCGTCTCATTTTATTTTCTTCGTAGTTTATTCAAAATTTCAAATTTAATTTTTTGGACCGTAATCCAATCGCACGAAGGCCAAATCTTTGAATCGGTTACAACTTCAACGATTATATATTTTTCTTATAATATTTATATATATTATAATTCTACACGTCCCATTATTTCGTGTTTGTTCGATGAATTCTTTGAAGAATTTTCCGAGCTATGTCGCTTTAACTAATTGATATATACGAGGAGATTCTAGTACCTCGAGGAATTAGAGTAATCAAAATATATGTTTATAATTGATTATTTGTTTATTTGAAATACGTATGCGACAGCTAATAATTACTGGTTTGTATGATTCGAGATGAGATCTCTCCGGCCGCTCCTTCTCATCAAGTGTTACCTACATAATCATATATTGAAAGATCAATAATTAATTAATATTTATGAAGTTTGCATTTTGTAATATATCATATTGTTTATCTGACTTATTTCCAAAGGATATATATATATATATATATATATATATATATATATATATATATAAATTACAAACAAAGCTTTACCATCACATCTTGTTATTACAAAGAAAGTAGAATATAATATGATATGATATTTTTTTTTACTTGCATTCCGTTAGTTTAAGAGAAAAAAGAAAAAAAATCTAAATATACGAAGAATATATATTTTCTAACATAGGAAATGTGGGAAAATGAAACAAAAAAAAAGTGAAAAGAAAAAAATAATCATGCAACGATATAAAAAAAAAGGTGTATATATATATATAGATATGAAGATCGTGTGTGTGTATCACATATACAAGATAGTGTTATTTCTTAGAATTTGATTTTGAAAAAGACATTAGATCACAGATCGAATGAGTATTTACGTATTCTAGCATTCATTTTTTTTTTCAGAAATGAAAAAAAAAACATTAAAAGAGTACAATGGATAAGAACAGGTGCATGAACTTCATGATGCACTCAGATAACGTAAATAACCTTTTTTTCTTCTTCTCAGAATTAAAATTGGAGTTTGCTGAATCCTGTTATGGGACGACATGATCTTCCGACACGGGCTTTTACGCTAGAATAGTGGCTTACT